ACTACGGTAAAGCGGATACCTCGTGCAGAACCGTTGCTGTTTTCCTCTGTTCTTGGTAGCTGTTATTTTGTGCAGGAATTGCACCTGCACCACTGCTGTGTTTAATGTCACAAACACGAGGTGGTGATAATGCTCTGCAGTGGGAAACACAGCCTGGCTGGTAACATCAGCTGGCAATGTCCCATAACCAAAATTGTCACCAACAATAAATGTCAGTGGACGGATAGGACACAGGCATCTTGTTTGTGATGCTGAAAGGTTTTCTGTGGTACTCATATGCCCTGCTTATGTCTTGGCTCTGATGGTCTTGATACCATGCTTAGTCAGTCATCCTAAAAAACAAAGATTACATTTGTGGTATCTTCACAGAATCACAGAGTGGTGGGGGTTGGAAGGGACCTCAGGAGATCATCTAGTCCAACCCCCCTGACAAAACAGGTTCCCTACAGCAGGTTGCACAGGAAGGTGTCTAGGCGGGTTTTGAACCTCTCTGGAGAAGGAGACTCCACAACCTCTCTGGGCAGCCTGTCCCAGTGCTCTGGCACCCTCACAGTAAAGAAGTTTTTCCTTAAGTTCATGTCAAACTTCCAGTGTTCCAGTTTTTGCCCATTGCCCCTTTTTCTGTCACTGGCCACCACCAAAAAGAGCCCGGCCCCATCCATTTGGCCCCTGCACTTCAGATATTTATAGACATTGATAAGATCCCCTCTCAGTCTTCTCTTCTCCAGGCTGAAGAGTCCCAGCTCTCTCAGCCTCTCTGCGTAAGGCAGATGCTCCAGGCCCCTCATCATCTTTGTGGCCTCCGATGGACTCTTTAGAAGATCCCTGTCCCTCTTGAACTGAGGAGCCCAGAACTGGACACAGTATTCCAGATGAATACTTGCTCCATGTTATGAGTTTATATGTCATACACAGACCCCCCTGTGCACGAGTAATGGGTTATTTGTGCTGATAGGGGTTTTGTGGTTCTGAACCACGAGACAGATGTGTGTAGGCATGCTGAACATGGGGCTGGCTGTGGTGTAACCCCTAAAAATGACCCACCTCCTCTCCCACATGGGTAAAGAGCTGTATCAGCTGTGTTTTGCTCCTAAGGACTTTCTGTACAATCTTCTCCTCTCCTGCTACACTGAAGGTATCTTTTCTCCAAATGGCACTGTGAGGAACCACACAGACTTTTATCAGTGCCACAGTTTCCTTACCTTACACTGGTATCTGCTCCAGGACCTGACGCTATGTAGAGGCTATTAGTTGCATTTTTAGCTGGCATACTCTTGACCCAACAGCACTGATTATTGTAACAAGCCCTTCTCCCTTTGGTTTCTTTCCCACCTTTAGGCACTTTACTGAGCCCCCAAGTGCCCTTGACCTGGCTTCTACAGGCATCCGCCTTTGACCTGACTTAATGTCATACCTCTCCAGTTGGGATTTTTGGAGTATTGCCATATCTTCTCACAGCAGTCTTCTGCAGGGAATTTAACAGTCTTAAGACTGTTGGGCCTCTTAAAGACAACAGTTAAGCTCCATCCTTGAAGACATCAGGAGTTGAAAAATAATGGACTTGGGAAGAGGAAACAACCTCATTTTCATTCAAGACCTGAATCAGACGCCTGTCATCGTCAGAGGAAGCTGTTCTGCCTGCAGCCTTTCAACTGGTTTATTTCAAAGCCCAGTTTGTTCTTTCTCTGCGTCCAGAGGCCTGGAGATGGTACTGCACCATGTCTGGATGCTCTGGGATGCCAGCTGCATGACACCTCCCATGATGGCAGGGCCTTGGCCAGCATCACTTATCTGTTGAGTCCCATACCAGGTAAACATGACCTTAACAACAGCATCTTCATACAAAACTTTTATCTATACTGGAAATACCTCTGTCATTACTACTGTCCTCCTTTGGTTTGTAGTAGTTTGAACAATATATAAATATACAATCCACCTGGGGCCAGGCCTAAGGATCATCTTTTCTTTGATGTTGCAATGGCAAAAATTCCTCTTCCTAGGCCTTAGTTATTGCCTAACTGCTCCATAAGCAACGCCGGCTGTTTGTCCTCCCCCTTTTAACTCTTGCTTGAGGTCCTCCCTGTTAACACCCATGAATTAGAACAATCCTTTACTTTTGCCAAAGTCCCCATTCCTCCTTATTCCTTGTTTTTATTTCTCGACTCGACACCATACCCTGCTCACCAGCACTGCTGTGAGATTTCAGAAAGGACAGCCCTCACAGCCCTGCTGTCTACCATGAGCCACCCAGAGTAGAAGCCCAGCTGGTCAGGTCTCACGTGTGCAGGAGGCAGTGGGGATGGAGACTTTTGCAAAGAGCCCTTCTTTGCCACATCATGCCCAGCCAGCCCGGGTGCAGGAATCGGCCTCTGATCCCCATTCACTGGCCCCAAGGTGTGTGTCATCCCCTCCCGCAAAGCACGGCCAAGATCCCAAATCTGTGCACAAAATGGTAACATTTATTGAAAGAGTAATTTTTTTTTTTTAATACAAAAGAAAGCTCTGTACATAGTACTGTGATTACTTCCATATCCTTCCAGAAACACAACCCTGGAAACTGGAGGGGGGGGGGAGAAAAATAAAAATAAAAATCCCACACACACTTATGCGGACACACACACGCACACACGCACGCACACACACACAACCCTCAAACCAGTAAAATGAACTAAAAACGTCACCACACAATAAATGCCATTTCATCCCTGATACACAAGTGTTCTTACAAGTCTGCACTTAAATAAAATACACCATTAGCGTTTAACCAGCAGTTGCCTTTGGGGGAACCAGGGAGGGGATGCAGTCAGACACCCTGTAGCAGCAGGGACACTCCTGCTACCCCAGCCCAAAGCTCTGCTCCACAGTGCTAGCACAAGCAAAGCGGAGCAAAGCCAGGCCACAGTGATGTGCTGGGGCAAAAAACAATGCAAACCCCAACCCCATCCTTCTCCCTGGATGAACTCCTAGGTACCCAGCCTTGTTTTGGAAGCATCACTGAGCAGCTTTCATACACCTCGCAATGGGGCATGGCACAGCACTCCCACGTGCTCCGAGCTGCTCTCGGAGCAAGGATACTAAGGGGAGGTAGCACACAATGTCACTCTCACCAGATGGGCCACCCCATGCCCCATAAGCCCTTCCCAGGCTGCATAACAGACGGAGGGGCTGAAAGATCATTCTGGGAGCTCTTTGGACAGGGGGTGCTTGTAAGGGACCCATTCGCATCTCTGCACCAAGGAATGGCTGTAGAGCAGGGACTACAGCCCAGATCATCAGCTAGTTCAGGAGATGCTACCTTCACAGGGAGAGCAGGGATCAGCCACTGCTGGCTACTCACCACCCAGGGAGGAGTGAGGATGCCCACATCCATTTAGGCAGTCACAGGTAGCACTGCTCCACACCAAGAGCAGTGACAGAAGAGCTGGAGGTCCCAGGAGCAGAGGCGAACAGGATGGTCATCAGAAAACCCAGCCCAACTCTGGCTCCCGAGCATGCTGCAAGCCCCTTGCTCCTGAGGGATGGGTTTCCCACTTCTAGAGACCAGCCACTGCTTCACTTGCTTTCTGCCCGTTAAGCCCAAAATGATGGGTATGGAGTCCTCAGTACATGTAAGTGGGCAACAAGCATCCCACTCGGTTCAGCTTGATCCCTGGCACGTGCTGGCGGGTAGAGAATGCAGCTTAAACGCTAATGCTGAGGAAACATGTCCAAGGTTACAATACAAACTCAAAAGCAAGGCCCCTTTCCTGCCTCCATTCCATACCCACCCACCCCTCTCCCATCCCCCTGGTACAAACCCCATGAAAACTGTACAGGAGCCAAACTTTTATTCCTTAAAGAATTACATAAATACTGAGTTTAACACTTAGAAAAATAAAGTCATTTTCTTTTTTTTTTTCTTTTTTTTTTTTGCTTTTTTCTCCAAGGCTTCTTTTGTCTTTA